TGAAACAGGTTTGCATCTTGGTGGGTTTGGGGGAGAGGGGATATATAGGAGGAGGTGGATCTGTGCTCAGTGCAGCCATTAACTCTAATGGGTTATCCATGCAAATCCTTCACATGCTGAGAAGGGAATAAATCTCTGCATGCAAAGCCTTAATGCAAAAATACTTGTTAAATACAAAATACTGTGAAATCAATTCCAACAGCCTTCAGCCTTCCTAATCTTTTATTAACCATTATTCGTGATGATATTATTAAATCATAAGCTGATAGTGAAGGAATTTATAGGATGAAATTGGAATAAATGACTGGGCTCTGCAGTTTTTGTGGCTGAGCATTCAAGTGGATTCTTGAAAGATTTGAGGTATTTTTATTTCACTTCATAGCAAGCAAGCACTGAAAGCCACTCAAATTTATAAACATTTCTTTATATACATATGTTGTAGATTTTTTTTTAGACTGTCATTGATCTTCTTGTAGAGCCAAATTTTGGTCACATTGAAGTTGATAGGAATTCTGGCCAAGAGAACAGCAGAATCCCAGTGAAATTTGTGCATATACTTGATAGTAAGTGTGTGATAGAATTGAATGTAATGGAAAAATTTTCCAAATAGGACCTAGGAATGAATATGGTCCAGGGAAAACCTGTTTGTAGCACTTGCCATTGCTAGACCAAAATCCTTTTGTTTTCCTCAGTAACTCTCAAGCACACTTCTAATTATGCAAAATATATCCCAAGAAGTATAATGAAGAATTCTGTTTTACATCCTTGAAATTAGAGGATAACTCCCTTGGTACTTCAATTCTTGAATGTTCAGCCAATTTGCAGGTGTCCTGGCCTCATTAATGACTGCACTACAGAAACTGGCTGTTTCCAGCTGCTTCCAGGAATACAGCAGCGCCAACACTGTGGTGGTTAGGCTTTAACACACAGCTTTGTAGTCTTGGAGGAATAATTGCAAAAGGAGCTGAGGGTCAGCTTGGATTCCTGTACATTTCATTTGCTGTCTGTGCAGGCCATAAGGAAACCAAGTGTGGATGTGCATAGGAACTGCAGTTTGTTTTGTGTCTGTGCCATGCTTACAGTTTCTGGTATTTGCAGAGTAGACCCTTCAGCCAATGACTTTTCAGTGGCAAGGAAAGAAAAACTGATGCGACACCCAGATTATCTGATGGACCAGGTAGAGAGAAGGAATGGAGAAAAGAGGAAAAAAATACAAAGAAGATAAACTAAACAACCTTACAAGCAACTCCCTCTAGTCTTACTCACTCTGGCAAGCACTGACCATCCTAGATCTTGTTTGGAATGGTTGTTACTACAGCACTATGCCTTACATGGAACCCGTGAGCAAGCTTATTTCAGTGATCCCAGACTAAGCAAGGACCCCTCCTGCATGGCACAGTGCCTCAGTATCTCCCTGCCATTGGGTGGTGTGAGTGGTGGGGATGCCAAATGCTGAACGTGCCCTTGGGGTGTATTACTTGCAGACACAAGTTGCTAGGTGGTTTGAAGGCACCATACCTGTACACATTTCCTGCACCTCAGACAAAATCAGAAAGGGGAAACAGGATGTGAACAGGTTGTGGGAGATGAGAGGAAGAGATGTTATTAGGGAAGAGGGAGTTATGTGAACTTCACACTGAATTAGTCATGCAGATGTATTACTCATGCAGCCACTAAAACACACCATTTCTGGCAAGAGATCCTAGGGATTATATGTATGAAAAATAGATTATTGTACATAGTGACTTCCTGAATTACAAATGAGCTTTACTCCCAGGCAAGAAGCTTTTGAGAGGAAGTTAATGAATTGACTTATTTATCCTCCTGTGCTTAAATAATTCCTTTTGTTTCACAGGCCGATGCTGGCTGGATGCTTTGGAACTTGCCCTGCGTTGCTCCAGCCTCTTCAGGCTCAGTGCCTCCAAGCAGGGAAAGGATGGAGAAATGAACTGCTCGAGTGATTCTGCACATGTGGGGCTCAACCACCTCTTGCACACAAGTGCTATGTCAGACCAGGAGTTCTTCAAGTAAGATGGGGCTATCACTTCTTAATGCACAGAGGGGTGTTGTATGGCTCAAACTTTAGCATAATCTAGCCAGAGTCCACTAAGGAAACCTGTTTAAAAAACAGCCTGTATGTTCTGCTGCTGCATCCCTCACTCATATATGGGATTGGTATATGTGAGGTTTGTTGCCACCTAATGCATGAGCACACAAACGGAGAGAACTCAGCTGTGCTTGTTTGTACATAAAAAATATTCTTCTGTCCCGTGCTTGGGCCAAAATGCTGTCTGGAGATGCTGGCCTGAAAAATGGCTTGCCTGAGTAAAGATTGCAGAATCTAGCTGCTAGAGTAGACCTGTAGTTACACAGACACAGTCACTGATAATGTCTGTCCATTGCTAACACACATGGCCCTGAGTCTGATCTATTTTTTTAGGATGTGTTCCCTTTCCTAATAACACTGTGTCATAGTCAGCAGAGTGCACGCACTGCATCCTTAGTTTTATGATTACTTTCTCTCTCTGTGGGGGTTCTGAGTGGTTTCCAATTTCTTCCTCGATGCATCAGATACATTTTTACATAAGAGAAAAAAAATCCCCACAGCCTTCTTTCTATTCATATTCCTAGTGTTACTGCCGCATTTTGGAACAACTCACATCAAAGCTCTGTAGGCATTAAAAAACCCCAGGCCTTTCTGTTGCTTATAGCTGAATAAGCAACTTCAAAATCCTTCTGGTATAGACATTTGGCCTTTGGAGTGGGAACTGGGAGAAGTAGTGTCTATTTCTAGTTCTGCTGATTCAAATCTGACTTTTAGGGCTCACAGCAGTACACCATTGGTTATGCAGTTTTTAGGGTGGCAATTCTTGCAGTCTGCAGAGATGAAGCTTTGCACAGTGGGACCTTACCTTTAAGTGGTTTTCTTAGGCTCTGTTGTAAGAACAGCAGGGGTCTGAGTCCTCTTCAGAGTGTGTAGGTATCTCTGGTCCCATGGGATCAAAGGGATGGCAGCATTTTGGTCTGCCTTGTGCCCTGAAAGGCTCTGGTATTCCCAGCATGTGTTCTCTAGTCCTGCTGTTTGGGTTTATAGCTAGAGATTGAAGAGAAATAGGAGAAGAGAAGGAATTCTGATGTGTTACCAGGGCATGTGCCCTAGTACTTGTGCAAATGTTTCTGTTGTTCTTGGGCTTCTTCCATAATACTTTACTTTCTAATTTCTTTCTGGCTAAGAGAGAGTCTCTGTGCTCACTGTGATAATGAATTCAGGAATGCAGTGGACTTGTTTTTCAGCTGATGGATGTGTGTAGAGAAATGCACGTAGTATTAAAACGGAGCCCATGGCACTGAGAACATTCAGGCAGACCCATGGCTACTGTAAGGAGGTTCAGAACACAGAGTTAAAACTGTATTAAAGTATTTCTTCAAAGTATGATGCATAAATGATACTTGAATGATGCCTCTGGTATTTGTTCAGCATTAAAAGCTGTCTTGAATTAGAGGCTCTGCAGTAGTTGCACACATGGCAGAGTTTTCAGTAGGACAGAGTATCCACAATTGGAATCAGATTTTTCTGACAGGCTGAAATTTTAGCTGAGTCTGGTTCAAGCTGGGCATTCAGTGTCTGGTCATCTGGCCAGTGCCCTCTCCTTCCTGAGTCCTGCCACTGTTCTGAATGTGTAACCACACTCCCCAGTGCTTAAAGCCCGGGGGAGTTTGATGGTTGCAGGACAGGGGGATAACTTGCTGTCATCCCTGGAAGACTAAAGAACATTTAAATAAGAGAGAATGCAAACCCCAAACTGTGCAAGTGCTGAGCAAAGGGGGTTTTTGGTTTGCCAGTGACAGTGGCTTCCTCAGAGGGATTCAATCATTCTAATTAAATGCTTTC